TCAGCAGGATTTTATCACCATTTAATATAATCATTCTTAATCTTTCTTATTTTTACCACAATCATTTTTTATCATACGTGTTGGCTTGGGATGCACTCAACCTCCAATCTGAAATTCATTGAAAAGAATCCACTTTAATCGATTGAACTATATTTTCATTCTTGCCAAAGTGCGAGTAATTGTTTAACTTTTCCAGCTTTTCGTGTCATAATTTTTCTTTTGGTATGCTAATTGTCTTTTCTTCAACTCGAGAATTGGTGCTTTTATTTAAAACAATCTCTTTAGGATTATCAAGTGTGTATTTTCCATTCTACCAGAAGTGCTGCGACATTAGCTTTATTGAAAATATGATAAACCTCACTACAGCTTGACCTGATGACTTAGAATTAACCAAGCTAGGAACTGGGGTCGGACGATATTAATTATTCTTTTAAATCATACAATAATTCACCATAACTTTCAATAATAAAAAAAATTCACTATAAACCACTAATAGAAATTTAAATTCTTCCAAAGCAACATCGTAGTGTTAAAATAGAACAGTATCACAATCCAACCAACAATAGTTAAACATTTTTTCTAAGTAAATAGTATAAGAAACTAGAAGCATAATAAATAACTTACTATCTAATATCAGTGGTCCTTATCCCGTAAACAAAATTCTTCTTGTCAATTGTATCACCTTAGAGTTTTTTGGAAGAAATAATTTTATTCAACAATAAGTTTTCCACCACTTAGTAAACAATTGCAATTTTATTATGCATTAAATTAATTTGCAAATGCTATGAATGAATGCCCAAAAGAAACCTGATTCATAATTAAATCAAACTATAAATGTTTCAATTTAAATTAACAATTTTTGTTTCAATTTAAGTATTTATCTTTTTAAACTTTTTTTTAAGAAGTTATATCAGGATTAACGTCATATCCGAATATATTTATAAAAATTGTACCTTTAGGTACCCTAAAAATTTTTGCACCTAAAGGTACTTGTTCATCATTTCCTTCATTTTTTAATGTACGGGTACAATAGCGTCTCATAACAAGTATCATAAGAGTGTCTATCCGGTTTGTCTTAAGCATATACTGATCATTTCATATTAATTTAATATCATTTAAATGTACTTACATATGTCAAATTCATTTTTTATAAGCATCTTTTAAGCATTCAAAATGCAAATCATAAATGAAATATTTATTTTTAAAATAATATTACAAGTTAATTTTTTATGAACTTAAAATATAACTTCTAAATAGATCATTAATCTAGTACCAATAAGAAAACAATTATGCAGCTTTGCCTTAAAGGACATCTTAAACACTTATCCCGGCACTTTCTTTCTCCTAAATCACCTATATCCATTGAAAGTGCTATATAAGAGTTTTATTTTCAAAATTACAAGCATATAATTCATAAATTTAAAATATTTATCCAAATTACCTTTTTAATCAAATACTCTTTCATTTCTTTCTTGTACTCTACTTAATGACGTGTAATTAAAATCACAAACATAAAGAAATACATAAATGTTTACCTCATATTCCACTGAAGTTACTTCTAAATTTTCAATTCAGGATCTTTCCTCTTGTATTCTAACTTAAATAATAAAAATGGTAATTAGTATGTTAAATTAATTATGCAAAACCCTACATTGAAATTAACCATAAACATACCTTAGTTTTCTCTTTCTATTTTGTACAAATACTGATCTCGATCTTGCTCCAATCTGAGATTTCTATAGCTTCAATCCTCATTGTATTTAACCTACCATTAAACTTTAATAAATAAACATTCATTTAAATTCATTAGTTAATATAAAAAACCCTAACTCACTTATTAAACTCTTGATTCAGCTCCTTACCCAAACGCATGAGCCGCCTCTCTTTCCTTTTTCCCATGTGCTTGGCTCAACTTCGGAGCCATACACATGAGGCAATCTCCTATTTCCTTCTCATTTCTTCTATAGTTAATCATCATTTTACTGAACTGAACTTTTAAACTTTAATAAATAAATATTAATTTAAATTCATTAATTAATATAAAAAAACCCTAAGTCATTTATTAAACTCTCAGTTCAGCTTCTTACCTGCACGCACGAGCTGCCTCTCTTTCCTTGTTTTCACATTATTGACTCAGCTCTAGAGCCATACGCAAGAGGCAATCACCTCTTTCCTTCTCTTTTGTTCTGCTAGGTTTTGACAACCTCCTCTTTTTCCTCCTCTTTTCTTCTTCTTTGACGCACCAGAGTTTCTTTAACCCACAACTAGGACATTGTTGGGTCGAGTCTCCACTTCACCCATGGAACTCCTTTCTCATACGATGGCTCCTGCAAGTTCTTCGACCCGCTTTATGCTTCCACCTTTTCACCTCGCCACACTCAGACCTTCCTCATTCGGCAAGCAGATCAAATATAGTATTCGACTTGTGCATGAAATCACTCGATTCGATCATTCACAGCTTTCCTCCTTCGGCTACACAACTGTCGTAGCCTCCCACACTCTCAGTCTCCCACTCTTGCCCTCTCGGTTTCATTTAGTTTGAATGGGGCTTGCGACTCTAAAGATGAAACTATCTGACGATTATATGGGTTCTTGTCTCCATTTCAACATTTCCCTTATTATTTTTATTATTATTATCACAATTACTATTATTATTATTATTTAAAATTCAGTTATTATAAATGTGCTGGCTGTAAATTTTATTTTTTTGGAAAAATCAACTAATAGAGTATTTGAAAAGCACTACATTTCTGTTTTGAAGGAGAGAACTTGATAATTCAGAAGCAGAAAGATGTCATCATCTCGAACAAATTCATGACCTCCAAGAGCATCTTCGAGAGAAGGAGAGTCAGTTTCTTGCATTGGAAGAGCAGGTTTCAACTATTATTCTTTTGTTACTATATTTTTTTTAATGCTTTTTACGCCTTGCATATTACTATAAATGTTATTGATCATTCTTTCTTGTAAAATGCATACTTAGAACTAATCTGTTGTATCTACAAGTCAATGCATCCTTCTGAGCTATTTTCAGAATGCAATATTCCTTTTATAAAATTGGTTTCCTGTATTGCTGATCTCATAATATTCCGTACTTGTTAAAAGAATCTCAACTTCAAGCTAGACTATTCTCGCATTATGCACATTATTCTTTGAGATTTTGCAGATGATATTTGTTTCATGATATTTATAAAATTGGTTTCCTGTATTGCTGATCTCAAAATATTCCGTACTTGTTAAAAGAGACTCAACTCCAAGCTAGACTATTCTCGCATTATGCACATTAATCTTTGAGATTTTGCAGATGATATTTGTTTCATGATAATCCTCAGTGACCTCCCAAACTATTCTAATGTGTGACTGTATTTTAGAGAGGATTTTATTTGAATGTTAAATCCTGTTAATTTTATTATTTGGGACTTACATTTGCATAATAACTGATTATACAAATTATTATACAAATAACCCACCAACATAAGAGGTTTTACGTCACTCCAGATGACAACCTCGGAACCTAAAACGAGTTAGGACTTACGCTACACAACATGGTTGTGCAAGAGCCTAAAAGAGGGTGAGGTTTTACGTCGCTCTAGGCGAGCTACCCTAAAATCCTATAGGTTGTTATTATACTAGGAAGGGATAATGTTGAAGAAGATCCTCTTGCTGCTTGGTCTGAATTCCTCGCCGTGCTGCCCACTTCCCGTTGTAGCGATGACTCCAGGGTTTAAGTGTTTGAGATTAGTAGTTTATGTTTCACAGTTTTGGTGTTAATGTTTGGTTTTGTTTTGTTTCGGTTTTGATTTTGCATGGAGAATAAGCGAATCGCAGGTAAATAAAATGTACTTGAAAGGTAACATGCAATAAAGTAAAATGCTGTGAATAAACTGTAAAAGCGTATCTGGGTATCTGTTACTGTTGCGTTATTAATATTGCGAGCATAATATGATTTGCAGCAGACTTAAATAAACTTGCAAGAAAATTAAATAAGACAAGAAAACCTAACGCGAAAGTCAGAAAAATGAGTTGTAAAAATAATGAGCAAAATAAACCCTTAGCCACATATGAAAGATCAGGACTGGGTATAAGACCTTGGTAAAAGTGGGGGCTCAGAGCTCGGCTGTGTGCTTTCCGACCTTGAGTAAGAGTTTCTAACTCAACAATTTATAGGAGGTAGTTCTTAACCTCAATCCAAATAACTAACCATGGACTTTTATAAATCTTCATAGAAAAATTATTTGATTTTCATGCAAAAGTTGTTGTTTAAGTCTTTTTTATGCAGAGTTCTTTTTAACATGCAAAAAAGATTTTTATTTTATTTTCGTAAATATTTTTTTGTAAAGTCATATAGTCCACAGGTTAGTCACTTTAATCGTGCTAGAACTACTGACAACCTAAGAGTGTCGGGGCAACAATCCTACCAAGGGTCGACGAATAGCATCATCGATCCTTTCCTCTCTCTTATAGAAGGTCCTCGAGGTAGGAGATACTATTCTAATAATCCCACTTCGTATCCCTCGTTTAAGCATGCATAAGCATTGTCGTCATCGCCCTCGCCACCTAGACCCTAGACTTATTTTAGTCCGATGATCCATATGTGGCGTTAAGAAATTTCCCCAATTACAAGGAGGATTTAAGTGTAATATTCAAGCTCAAATACCAATGCATTGGGCTTTATT